GAAGAATGTAATCAATATGCATTGCAAATGTATCTTAAAAAATAAAATATTTAAAAACACATTCAAGGTACTCTGGGGAAAAGGTTGGATTTAATAATCTTTTTTCTTCTTAGGCCTAACAATCCACAGTATCACTTTATCATTATCTTATTTCTCCGGAGTAAATATGTAAGAGTTTTCTGGTATCTTGAGCAGACCGGCAATAAGACCGTAACCCAGAAAATGGAATTTCTGGCTACAAAATGTTCATCCTGAAGCTGCTGTCAGCCTAGAATCCCCTGCTCCCTCTCAGTTCCTTCGAAAGCAGGCAAGAATGAGTTCTGTTCAGCTTGGTGGGGCTGTTGTAAATGGGGAACAAGAAAGGAGAGCCAGCAGCTTACACATCGGGGGTCACCCTCTCCTGGAAGGCGTCTGCTGGGATCCAGTTGGAGCCTTTCAGGAAGATGGGGAAGCCATTGATTCTAAAGTAGAAGCTCAGACCTGGAGACCCATCTATTGGCTCTTCTACAAGCTCCACTGTCCGGAAATAAACCTGTTGCAAACAGAATCCAACACTGAATATCAAAAACATCAGCAAAACACATTTTAAAAGAAGGCCTGCTTTTTAAGCAATTTAATCAGTGGAACATTAATGTTAATGTTCCTATTTGCTATAAAGCAAATCATGTAAAAGTGCAAATTTCAGAAAATACATATAGCCTGTTACTTCTCTTCTAAAAGAAAATATGGAAAACATTAAAGGTAAAAGACATTGTTATCTTCCCCATGAAATAGGCATTGTTAGTTACAGGAGAAAAAGAAGCAAAGGCAAAGGTAACATTTCAAAATTGAAAATTTATTTTCACAAACAGAAAAAGCCAGCAAGGGCCAGCCAGATAGCCCAGCAGACTAAAGCGCTTGCTTGGGCAGGCAGGGACCGGGGTTCAATCCCCAGTGTGCTGTGCCAGCCCCACACCTGGGACACGCTGAGACAGCAACTGAGACTAGGTGTGGTAGCACACTCCTGTAATCCTAGTACTTGGGAGGCTGAAAACAGGAGGATCACTATAAATCCACTTTGTGTGGTGAGACCCTGTGAACATTAAAAAGAAAAAGCCATCAGTTGAACTAATGCACCTTCCACTGAAAAACACCTCCTCATTTCAGTATTATTAAAACATGCAAAAATGTGGGCCTAAGAGTCAAAGAAACAGCACAGGCTTCATAGGGTAGCAACATCCAATCTGTACACTATGGAGCTCTGCGACTGCCTTGATCCATGGATAACTGAATGCCAGCGCTCACACCAACCCTGCTGCACAGAGCCTGGAACCCTGACTGCACACATCCATGATATACCACCTGCACTAAGGTCAGACGTGCAGGGCCGCCCTGTCCCAGCTGTCAAGGAGGCTGCAACTCTGTCCCCACACTGAGCCAGGTGTACCACAGGCAACACAGCAGCAAGACCCCAAGACGACCGTGGCACAGCTGTGTCCTCTGGAGGCCTTGCCCTGAGTCCAAGTGGCATGCTGCCACCTGAGCAGTCCATGCAAAGTCCACGCGTGAGTCACCATCTGCCCTGCATCACGAAGGTGCCACATTCCTCCCTTTCTCACCACCCCGTCCAGGACTAATGGTGCCAATACAAGGTCATGAGGAGACAGACAGCTGGGGTCAGGTGCGGACCCGAGTTCACCACGCACGTTTGCGGACAGGAAGCCTCCATGGTATCCAGAGCTGTAATGCTCATGCTACAGTTCTGAGTGTGGCCCCTGAGGGCCTTGGGGACCAAGCACCTCAGAACCTACTGCTCCCTCCCTCCATTCTCCTTCCTCCTCTCTCCTCTCCCATCCCCTCTCTCTGTCTGTCTCTATCTCTATCTCTCTGTTTCTCTCTGTCTCTCTTTCCACTGGGATTTTCCAGAAACTATGGATGTGTAAGTCATCCTCAGCCCCTAAAAGCTGTGTGCTCATTTGAGGTGGACGTTTAGGATGGAAAATAGTGCTCTGCTCATTGACAGATGAATGAGTAAATAAAATGTGATGTTTACCTGCCGTGGAGCACTACTCTGCCATAAAGAAGAATACACGTGGTCATCTGTAGGAAACTGTATGCACCTTAAAGCCACAATGTGAAGTGAAATGAATCACACACAGGGTTAAATATCCTGTGCTTTTTCTTATATGGGAAAAACAAATCATCACTAAAGAGCAAAATACAAGAGAGACAATAGGAAACAGAGACAGATCTTCCTCAGGAAGGGGACCAAGAGCTGGAGGGAAGGGGCGAAGAAAAGGAGAGAAGATGAGCAGTGTACCTGTGCCAACGCTGCACGGGAGTGCCGCACCCACGCACTGCAATCACGGGCTGGTAATAAAGACAATTTTAAAAAAGAAAAGATGCTCTGCAAGACATGGGTTTGGTTGTTCCTAGCCCTGACGCTGCGCTCTCCAAGTGTTGATGCCTGTGACCCCACACATTCCTACCTCACATCCCGGCTCCCTGCACCCCATTCAGGTGCATAAAAAGACAGGGTGCTGCCCCTTCACAGCAATATCTGAAAATTGAATTTTTAGCAAAACTCATTTTTAGAGTTTGGTACTAGTTTACCTCATTCAAAAAGAAATTTTACTTGTAAAGCACTTTTTCTTAATTTAAAGATAAATTGTTAAAATGCAATTAGAAGATAAACTCTCAACCTAAAATTATACTGACTACATCTAAAAATGCTGGAAAAAAAGAAACACGTTACAGAATCTTGTGACTCGTAGAAGGAAAGAATCTACTCCAAAGAAACCAGGTAAATTATACGTAAGAAATACAATGACAATGAAAGCTATCTTTCCCTCAGCCTTCTAGAAGTTAATAATTCACAGGAATGCTGCTACATGCCTATAATACCAGCATTCTGGGAGGCTGAGACAGATTCCAAGTTCATGCCACAGTGAGTTTAGTGACTTAGCAAGGCTGTGTCTCAAAATCAAGAAGGGCTGGAAGACTGGGCGTGGTGATGCACCCTTGTAATCCCAGCGATAGAAACACTGAAAACAGGAGGATCACTACAAAGTGGTGAGACCCTGTACAAAATACATAAAAAAGGGAAGGGGGCTGGAAATATGGGTTTGTATAAAGGCCTTGGGTTCAATCCCTGTTATGGTTTGTGCCTAATTGTCACCCCAAAGCCTCATGCAGTCATGGAGAGGGGACATCTAGAGTTTGTGATTAACTCATGATCCACTGGGATTATGGGTGATCCAAGGCTGGGATTATGGGTCTTAGTACTGCTGGGATTATGGGTGTGTGTACTTCCCCCAGCCTGGGGAAGAGAGCCATGCAATAGAAGAGGGACAGAGAGACAGGCTCTTTCTGCAGTCATTGCTCTCTGTGTGGCCATTGTTGACATTGCTATTGACATTGTTGCTGTTCCACCATGAACTGCTGCTCTCTGCCATGTGCTGCTTTGTCATGGAGCCAGCTGAGTGTGGACTGAAACCTCCAGTAACTGTGAGCTTATTAAATAAACCTTTCCTTCCTTCATTTTGGGTGTTGGGTATTTGTCCTAGCAGTGAGAGATTAATAACTGAGACAATCCCCAACACCACAATAAATAAACAAAATAAATATTACTGTGTTTTCTGAAGGGGAACAATATGTGGCACAGCTGACACTGGTGTCATTCTGAGACTGACAGTGCACAGATCAAAGAAGAGGAAATCAAGCAGTTCAAACAACGTAAGAAGCTAAAAGCCAACCATTACTTAACACATTTTTCAAACCAGCAAAACAACAGGTGCAGATGCCTGTCCACCCACAGGTGAAGGGTAGAAGGCCAGCCCCTGTGCTTGCAGTGGGCGCTGCCCAGCCCTGAAGGATCTGCCCTGCAAAAACACGTCTGCCTTGCCAATAAGCCCAGCCCTGAAGGCCTTCCTGTTGTCCAGTACTGCTCTGCTCCTGAAGTCAGAAACCATCAAAGCACATTTTTTGGAGAAGTTTTATACTGAAACTTAAGAGGTGTTGGAGCACTCACAGAACTCAGCAGCTGAGCCTGCGGCTCCCCTGAGAGGAATGAGCCCAACCAAAGGCCCTGCAGGAACCAGGATGTGCTGTGTTCAAGGAAGCCCCGTAGAGCAGGGATGGCTGCACTGTGTCAAAGCTCCAGGCAGCGCCCAAGCTCTGTGAGGCCAAGTGAGGCCAAGTGCCAGGACAGAGCTCGACAGCCACGGGGCACATGCAGGAACTTGTCAGGGAGAAGCAGCCACTGCAGTCTCGCAGAAGAATACTGGGGCAGGTGTGTCACGCAAGAACTCCCTTTCCTCAGGAGACGCATGCGCAAACGCTGGCTTGTCAGAGTTGGATCTATGGCAGGTGCTTGCTCAGAAGGGAACGAAGCAAACCTGTCACTTCCAGAGAACATGGCAGCATCTGTGGCCAATAAGGACACTCAACCTGTCCAGTAAAATTTAAGAGGTGGACCCACATGCACCCCCAGAGCTAATGAGCACCCTGGATTTGATGGCCTTTGAGATGAAAGGGCTGAGCCGCAGCACTGCAGGGTGTAGGGATTTGACTTCGGGAGGATTTATAACTCAGGAACCGAACATTTCTCAGATAGCCAGTGTGTTACATTGCAGGATCACACGCTGATGAAGGGTCCGCTGGAAAGTACAAGTGAGACCAATCTACTCTAAGGTCGAGGAGGAAAGCTCAGGGAAGTAGCTGCAGAGTGCACACAGCACTCGCCTGTATGAAACCATCACGTGCTACATCCGTAGTAACCAAAGATCCTCCTTCCTCCAGCCCTGGGTCTATGTCACTCAGGTTTTCTTCTGATGTTGCAACCAAAACAGCAAATGTATAAACTGGATTGAGAAGGAGATGAGAATATCTTTTCTTTTTTTTTTTTTTTTTTTTTTTTTTTTTAGGGAAGGGTCTACAGGGTGTTCAGGGTCTCACTACTAAATCAGACTCGTAGTGATCCACCCTTTTACAGCCTCCCAAGAGCTGGGATTATAAGTGCACACTACCACGCCCAGTCTCAATTGCCATCTCAGCGTACCCCCGGGTCAGGGGCGGCATGGCAGGCCCAAAGATCAGCAGGTCTAGGGATCAAACCCCCAGCCCCTGACCCTGTGCCTGCTTGCAGTTGCTTCAATCCACTGAACTATTTGGCCAGCCCTAGAATACTCATGTTTTAAAACATTGGCAAGAACTGCACGTGTGTAAAACAGTGTCATTATCCACACCAAATTTTCCATTTTGTACTGTTATTTTTCATAAAACAATTCAAATATGCTAATATAATGAGATTACTATGGTGAATTTAAATGAACATGCAAACATTTATTTCACAGCCCAAATATTTACTATAGGAAATATCAGTTCCCCCAGCCCACAGAGACACAGGTATCTTCCGGTGCTCAGTGCTTTTGCTGTGTTAACTACTTCTGAGTCTAAAAAAAAATTTGAGGATCATTGATGTAGAAAACAGAATTCAATTGTTCCTAACTCTTTATTTATTTATTTTTCTAACTCTTTATTAAGGCTGTAAAT